ATATGTGAACAAAATATCAAAGGGTATTTAGGTAAAAAGTAATCTATCTTTGATACACGAGTTATCAGACATATGAACAACTTGTGTATATCCTCAAAACACATCAAACAAAAAAGATTAGACATATGAACAACTTGTGTATATCCTCAAAACACATCAAACAAAAAAGATTAGACATATGAACAACATGTGAACCGTATGAACATCTTCTGCATATTCAGGAACCAACTCTGTTGTATGTACATGGACACCTACGAAGTTTGTGTTCACATGAAATCACAGATACTATTCATATTCATGTGATGTGATTGTGCATATGTATCGATATGAACATCTATTGCCTTTGATATGTGTTCATTTAAACGAATTCAAATGTCATACTAATCACTTACCAATAAGAACGTTTTGATCATATTCTTCATTATCGGAATTCGAATTGCGAATTCAAATACAACCATGTCCATTTGTACAACCAATGCAACCCAATTAATTGAGATATTTATGGAAATGATAAGAGTTCATTTATTATGATTTGAATATTTATGGAAGATGAATATAGTTCATTAATTATAATCAATACTTTATATTAGGAAATAATCAAAACTTCTATGAAATCACATATTCATCAAACTAAATAGACGGTTGAGATTGAGTTGTATTAGTTGTACAAATGTAAAAGGTTGTATAATAACCAACCTCTCTCTCTCTCTCTCTCTATATATATATATATATATATATATATATATATATATATATATAGGGGCCTAATCAAATGTGAACTAATTAGTTTCTGGTAATCGTGAGGTCCAATATGAGCCAATCATTTTATGATATTAATTGTATTACCTTAATTAATAGGTAAAGGGCGTTTTAGTAAAATAATTAATTATAATTTAAATATTTTTCTTATTTAATAGTTATCAAATTTGGTTTCCTTAATTATCAAGAATTCGGTTTCCTTAATTATCTCAACAAAATTGTATCACAGTCGTGTATCACATTGTGGTTGTGTGTGGCCTAAGACTCATATCACATCTATTATCAACTCATGTTCAAAACGTTATCACAGTGGTATCACAATGTGTAACACAATTGATTTTGTGTCTTACTGTTATAAATTCTTGGGTATCACAGCGTGTATCATATTTGTTTTGTGCTTTAGTGTTAGAAATTCTTGGTCGGAGAGAGAGAGGGGGAGAGAGGAGAGAGATATGGAAAAGACTAATTTACCATTATTTATTATTAGTAAATTTAAATTATTTGAAAATTAATGAATAATTACCAAAATTAATGAATAGTTACCAAAATTAATATGTTTAATAATGTGTGATTGAGATTGGATCTCACAGTTATCACAAACAATCGAGTTCTCCCTTGATATATATATATATATATATATATATATATATCAAACTCGCCTCAAAACCATTGGATGCACAACACAGATAGACGTAAACAGTCTCATATTCCGTCATCAAGACGAAATGACAGAGCAATTTAAAACATGGATAGAAGAAGAACAAAAGACACCAGAACTCGCATACAAATTCAAGTGGTCAGACTATAAATTTTTAGCAGAAGGACACTACATACAAATCTGGTCACATTTTAATTGGGACATGCTTCTACCCTTTGTTGGAGAGAGCACTCAGCTCAGTATCACAGACATCAACAACAGAGAAGATGACTCAGAAGATGAACCCTATAATCAAGAGTCACCACCAACAATTCCAGAAACACACAGAGACTTCTAGATAAGACAAAACAGCACACAACACATGATCTACAAGAATGATGAAAGCAGTGACGTACCTTCAATAATTCAGACAGCCACGCATACCTCAATAATTCATGGCGGCCGACAAGTCACTGTGTAGTTTTTGAAAAAATTTGCCTAACTTTTACTGTAACAATACTGTAGCATCAACTTTTTACTGTAGCATTACTGTAGCAGTTTGAATTTTTTATAGTGGTAGGCCCCGCAAATAATTTTTTCTCGTGTATATATAGCCGATCGAATTATATATATATATTTAATTTGTAATTTAACCTAAATTTTGTAAATTGTAGATTTGTATTTTTCCTAAATCTGTTTTTAGCTAATACTATTTTTAATTTGTTATCTTTCCTTTTTAATTAGTGTTCGTAAGTAAGAATGGATTTGATTTCATGATTTGTCCTAAATCTGTTAATTTTGATGTTATTTTCTTAATTAAGTTTAATTTTCTCAAACCCTCGACGCTAGTTATCGTTTCCTTGGTGTTATTGGAAAATTTACTAAATCAACCAAAAACCGAGAAAATCCCTCAAAATAGTGAATTCGTCTAAAAACACATTGGACTTATGCCTAAGACGTAGTCTATGTCTTGCTCAAAAGATCAATTCAATTTGAAAAAAATGTATTTTATTTCTCAAATCGACACAATTAACTTCCCCCGAGTGAAATCGCTTTGTCATTTCAACCGGATCAAACTGCGACTTCACAGGCCTTTGATCCACAAAAAAGGTACGCCCACTCAGCAAATTTTTTAGGTCCATGTTGATATTACCTCTGACCTCCTAGGAGGCCAAAGACTACGATACCGCTAGACCAAATGCTCTTTGGTAAATTCCTGAAGTTGCATATCAGCGATAATTACTTTTCTATCTATTCCAGATTTGGATACACAACAAAAGTATGCTTTGGTCGTTGAAAGTTTGGCACCGAGAATGGACTCTCTTAGGACCGAGTGAAAGTTTATTTTGGTATGTTTTACCTAGTCGTGTAATGCAGCAAAATACATTTCTATTTCATTAATTTATTTTATGAATATGCGTAATTTTGAGAGATCAAGATAGTCTTCTATTGGTTTATCAGTTTTATGAATTATTTTGCCGTATTAGTAGGGTTCAACGCATATCTTGTATTTGAATATGTTTATCAATATGTTCAAACGTATTAGTAAGATATACGTATGTAATAGTAAGTTGTTATTGTTGTATAATATATAGTAAAAACATTATATAGCATCTTTGTAGCCAAAAACATGAAGCAAGATTCAAGACGGTGGTCTTCATGTGAAGGGTTTAAGCGTTTTGAACAACTTTTTATAGGAGGGAGTTCTTATGCAGAGGTTGTGGGCACCGAGCAAAGACCGAAGGTGAGAATCAACCAAGACATTGAAGATTCGGGTCACAAAAAAGGCGTTGCAGATAAGAATTTGGGACACAAAATAGGCTTGCAGGTGAGAAGTCTTTGCATGGGACCTCGTCTGAAGAAAATAAAGACAAGATAATGAAAATAGAAGCAAACGAGGAAGACGAAGATAACTTTAACAAGTGTTCGATAGAGAAGCAAAAGATGCGAGACACTTTGAATCGTTGCAAGAAATTTGCACAACCGAAGGGTTTGATTCCCACAAGATGAGTGTAGTGCAATAAAAACACTGGAATGACATATAACCATGCAAGCAATAAAAATAAAATTGAGAGGGACGAAAAATAGAATGAAGAAGGATAGACTCTTCAAGTTCTCGACTCCAAAAGGAGGTGTACCGCTCTACAAAACACGGGCAAACAACTAGTGTGTATATATAAATTATCTGAAACGACTTATGTTTTTCTACGAAAGTTCTTATCAACTTATTATAAGTTATAATGGTTTAACTTCTTCAAAAACTCCTTATTACCGATTTGACATCGGTATAAGTTGTTTATCCAAACACTTAAAAGTGTTTATTACCAATGTCACACCAAAATAGATCACTAAGTTATTTTTACAAGCAATCCTAAACACCATCTTAGAATTTTACATTTTTCAGATTTGGTCTTGGATGTAATATTTATATTATTTTTCAGATATTTAGATGAGATTAAATTCATAAATTCAATTGTTTGGACTTTGGATCGGTGTTGAAGAAAAAGCACAAAGAGTAATTTCAACTTAGTTTCGTAAAACCCTTGCTTCTTCTAGCGCCTTTGTCTTTGCTTCTCCGCATCACAATTCACATCTACTACTAAACCACCGGCGGTCCCTCCAGAACCAAAATTGTCTGTTTGATTATTCAAATGGATGAATCAGGGAAGCAGCCCGACTCCGAGGTACAGTCCTTGCAGGATTTTCTTTTATCTTCCTATTAATGTAAGTAGAATGTGTCTATGTAGGTCAGTCTGATGGTGCTCTTTGAAATTTCAATTTCAGGTTGATTCAGATCCTGCTATTGTAGCTCCACCCACCAGTCCAACCAAAAATGGTAGCTTTTTATGTTCTTGAGATTTGTTTATCATGATAGGTTTTATTCTTATATCGTCTGGGTCATTTCCTTGATGTCTGTATGCAAATGGGTTTGAATTCTTTCATGAAAATTAGTTATTTTGTTTTTTTCCTGCCTCTTTTGTATTTATTTTTCTGGGTGCCCGCAGAGAGCAAATATTCGCTATTATGTTTTGCTCTTAAATGTTAATACTCTCTTAGACTAAGAAATTCTCAGTGCCAGAAAAAAAAGCAACATGAGTATTTGACTGATGATTGAATGCTTAAAATACCATTAACTATGATAATATTTTTTGAGGAATTTTGTTGGCAAATTGGTGAATTTGTAGTAGAAATAGAGAAGGAAATGGTGCATACAACCCAAATAGATGATTGTTTTTTTCCCTGTGATGGAGGGAGTGTTATATTATGGAAAAAAAAGGTTGTCCGAGTTTCTTTACTTTATTGAGTTTATTGTGTTTAGATAAAATACCTCATCAATGTAGGCAAGAGAAGTCCGAAGGAGGTTGTTGAGATCGAAGATGTGGGTAGCAAGAGGCAGAAGATAGGCAATGATGATGTGGAGCAGGCTGTTGAGAGAGAGAATTTCAAAATGGAGACTCAAGAAAAGACTAAGGAAGAGCAAACCAGTTCCTCAAAACAACACTGTTCTTCCCAATCTGAGGAGGAACAGAACGAGGTTCGTTTTTTTGATGATTGATTAGTTTTCTGCTGCAACTATTCTGCTCAATTGTGAATTCTGTTTATATGTAGAGACGGATTTATATGAACCATTAACCATTTTAAAATCAAACTTTACCTTGTTTGTTTGTTTCTTATAATCAAATACAGTGGCTCTATGTACCTATAAGAATGCTTCACTTTATAGTAGAAGTCAAAGTACTGTCATTCTCTCCAAATTGCCTGTTCCATATCATTTTGGTGATATGGTGCTTATATCATCCTTTTGCTTACTTTCATAGCTTTTGTTTCTTATTTCTCTCCTTATTTGTTTTGGTTGAACGAGAGGGAAGAAAAGTTCTCTTTCCAATATTGTGCAACTTCAGTTGGCCTCCATTACATGTTTTTGTTTAAGCCCTTATTAAGATTGCTCAGTTTGTGGTCCACAACTATCCTGGATGAAACATTGTTGCACGAGTTGTAGCAGCAAAGAAGATTGCCTATATATCACCTTGCATAAACATAAAACTTTCAAGAAACACTGTTCCTACTGAAAAGAACATGTGCAATCTCGATATATGCAAGACCAGGTCTGCTGATAGTTAAGATGAATCTGATTCTTCCGATGAGGAAGTGAATCTCTCTGGTTCTGAAGTGTGAATCCTTTGTGCTTCCCTAACAAACCTATGTAAACTTAAAATTGGTCATTTGCCTTCTATAGTGTATGGCACTATGCAACTTTCCCAAGGCATGTTTTCAGGTGTATAGTTGCAACCAAATAGGTGTTTGGGTTATGTTGGATGTTTGTTGTTCATATGAACCCTTCTGTACTAAAAGAAGTCAATTGGCATGATGATCATAGGAGCTGATCATTCTAGTGTGGTTTCATTTTCTTTAATGATGATTTGCAAAGGAGCTATGTTTAGTGTAACCTTTAACTTATAGTGTGTTCCATAGCAGCAGTCATGGAATTTTTTTAATGCATATACAAGAAAATGACAAAATGATCAGCTAACCTAATGAGGTTTCCTCTGGTGCTGTTAAAAGCAGATCTATTGATAAAGAGGAGGTTGATGCAATTGGTTAAAGAATTGCAATCGGTTAGGGTTTCAGTCGAATGCATATTGATATCTTCCACTTTTGAGAGGTAGAAACTCTCCGCATACCAAGTGCCCCCAAAAAAACACTTTGTAAAAACACATTGTAAAAACACGAGTAAGGGGGAGACCAATTGGGTCGTGGAAAACAGCCGCAAATTGATCAAATAGGCATTGTAAATCAGCCTGCTGGTCCTTGGATAACATATCGTCCTGTTTATCAGAATCCACAACGTGTAAACCGACCGGTAAATCACTACGAGGTTCTTCCAAAAATAACCAAGTATGAAGGGAAGCTTGCTTTACCTCCGAATCCGATAACCCTTGGATACAAACTGATTTTCCACCCAACGAGAACTGCATTGATTGATTTTTCCAATTATGCACCACTTCTCCCAAGGTTTTTAGCCACTCCATACCCAAAACTAGGTCTAAATGACCCATTTCGAAGAGCAAGGCATCCACCACAAAATCACAACCACTAATCAACACCGGTAATTTTAAGCACCGTCGATTCACAAAAATCGTATGCCATCTCCCAATTTAATATTGATACCAGAGAAAAATTGAGAAGATATTCCCAATGCTGTGACTAGTTTACGGGATACAAAATTATGAGTTGCCCCACTATCCACCAAAATTACAATCGATATTCCTGAAATGGTCCCTTCGATCTTCAAGGTTTTCCCCTTGGATTCAGCCGTAGCTAAGGATCCTTGAAACTTCAGTACGGTACACAACCCGATCGGTGATTCCTTGTCGCCACCCAAACTATCTTCAGACGCATCCATGGTCCTAATTTCACCACCATCATCAACAATTTCATTATCAGCCAACAATAGAACGCTCAATTTACCTTCCGGACATTTGTGAGCTAGACTGAAAGCCTGACCACAACGAAAGCATAGACCCTTCTTTCGAAGATCCTCCCATTCAGTACGAGTAAGAGAACAAAAACCTCTATTCCGATTTCCTACAGTCGACGAATCGGAGAATTGGACTGCATTAGGTCGTGTAGAGGAAACAGATCGATTGGGCTCCGATTGATTGGACTCAAATCGTGATGTTGGGCCTTTGTCATTAAGCCCAATACTAACAGGTCCTTTGATATCAGGCCGACCCAAGGAATGCTTCAGATCTGGTCGTAAAGTCGATCCAGAACCACTCCTATTGCTCTGATAGCGAAATCGAGACCAGGAAACACTAATCACAGACGGACGCAACATTTCCTCAACGTCTTTGGCCAAATACTTTGCGTTCAGACGAGATTGAGGACGATGAAGTCGCACCCAACGTTCTACCTCATCGCGTTGGGACTCCGGTAAACGAGGAACTAATGACAATAGATATTCATAATCTTCGATTTATTCATGAATGGAATTTACATGTTGAAGCGTTGCCAATTGCTCATAAGGAGTTTGAATCTCCAAACCGCTGAAGCGTTCTAGGAGCTCTTTGGTAAATTGATCCCGCGATAATGGCACATAAATCTCCCTCACGATGGTAAACCAGTGTTAAGCGACCCCTACCATGCTCAATTGCGCTAAACGGATACGTAGTTGTGGAGAAATACCATGGATCTCAAAGTAGAGTTCCGCCTTTTTGATCCATCCTTGAGGATCGAAACCAAAAAACTCAGGCAACTTGACCTTCCTTGCTGCCCAAGGAAGGTGGTCGTTCGATAATTGCTCCCCTCCCTTATCAAAGGAAAAGTTGATTTCTTCTGAGAGAAGAAATCCGATTGATCCTCCTCAAAAATACCAAATCGTTCACCAGTACCGGTACCCAATGGCTTACCTTGTTGTTTCACCCAATTCATCACGAATTTGCGAAACTCAGCCTGTTCTCCACAGAATGTATTGCCGATTTGATCTCAGTCACATCTGATTGAAGTTTTTGAATCTGTTCCTCATGATGATCCAATCGAGCTTGTTGAGAATGAGTTTCCATGGAGAATTCCGGCAGATCAACGGTAGGTCGGACCAATGATAAGAACTCAAACAATTTGGAAGAATGAAAGGATTAAAAGACAAGGGAAATCAACAATTGATTATAAACAAAATTGGAAACTTACAGTTGAAAGAACAAACACGACTCCAGGGAAAACTTCCCTCTCTCAAAGCCACAGCTAAGAGCCTAACTCAATTAACAAGAAAAATCACAATGACCTCATGCTACCAACATTCCCGCCATTTATTAGACACGATTTCATTCTGTAATAGCTAATTGGGCCCAACCCTTTCTTCCACTCTTTTGGGCCGTCTGGAATAAACATTCAATACTTTGGGCTTGGGTAAAGATTGGATCAGATTAGAAGGATCCGTATCAGAATGCTTAAAGTTTCTTGTGTTTGTTGTATCCTGGGTAAATAACATTCAACCTTTTGTGTTACTGCTGTATGTTGAATGGTGGGACGATAGACCTAGAAAACGTAAATGAATTGATGACTAGTCATGATAAGTTCAGTGTTAATTTCGTTTTTGTCAAACCCACTCAAGTATTGAGATATGCGACAACCATCTAACAGAAGTGGTAACTTCCTTTATCCTCTCCGGTTAATGCATTACGTATGCATGGGTTACTTTGACCAAATTGATCTCCCATTTGGTTTTGAACTCAGTTTACTGGATAGCACTTGTGAAGTAAATGCTATAAAGGACCGTAACAGAGTATAAGGAACTGTCATTTAGAATAGAACTGGTCTAGTTGTTTTTGAATTACCAGGAGGTCATATGCTTGAATCATGGATACAATACATCTCCCGAATGCAAGGGATAAGTTCTGCTCAAAGACTATCCTCCTAAACCTTGACATTGCCGAGAATCCTTGATTTAGTTGTTTCAAGATAAAAGAGTAATTTAACGTGAATAATTTTAAAAAATGAACCTCTTTTGCTGTTGGCAAAAGAAAGTTAACTTTCCACTCAGATGCAACTCCTTACTTCTTTTATCATGTGTACTTCATTGGCACATTCTTGTATTATGTTTGCTTATAAATACTACTTGAGATAACAATGCCAAATTGGAATTTCTGAATTGTTCCTAGCAACATACTGTTTTTAAGATGTAGCAGAAGTTCACTTTTCTCAAATATATTGATGCTGTAGCATGTGAGGGCCAAACTCTATGATATGATTGTAGATTCTTTTTCTTTTCAGTGACATTGCTCCCTTTCAGTCATTGAATGATTGTGGTTAATCTTGTTGTAGGTTGAGGTTCCTCCAGCTATAAAGTCAGCAACAACCTCAAAAGACGGAAAGTCCGAGGAAGATGGAGATGATAATTCCAAAAAGGAGGCTGACCAACATTTAGAAAAATGTGTAAGGATAGTTACGATTTCCGGTGTAGTGATTGAAGATCTTTTTGTGATTGAAGATCTTTTTGTGATTGACTGGCTGTGGTCAAACCTTTTGTAGGTTGAGGTTCCTCCAACTAAAAACTCAACAGCAACTACACAAGATGCAAAGAGAGCTAGCAGCTCTATTGAGGCTGAGGAAAAAGATGGAGATGATAATTCCAAGGCGGATGACCAACATTTAGAAACCCCAAAGAATAGTGTAAGCGTAGTTAAGATTTCCATCATGGTGAAAATACATTTTTCCATACAAATGTTTTTACTGAGCTACCACATTTATTGACATTGTGATTTACATTTACTTAAATAATGGTGACAAGCTAAATATATATCGAAAAGCTTGGAGAATGTAAGAAGAGTGAAGCAACTTTCATTCAGTTTTTTAGGGTCTACAGCCAGTTGTTTATTTGGGATGCTCGGTTGCAGGACCTGCATTTATCTTGCAAATTCTTGGCAATTGCAGGATCCCGATGTTGAAATGTTTGATACTTCATCAGTGAAGAAAGCGGTTGGGTCTATGTATTCATTTCTACTTTCTTAAACTTAATGTCATGCTTCCATGGGAGCTTCGATGGCATTACTGACACATGCTAAATACTGCAGCCTCAAACCCCAATAAATTCTCAAGCTACAGGATCCAAAACTTTGCTTATGAGCAACTTAAGTTTTTTGATTAAGGAAGAAGATGTGTATGTACTATTTCTACTTTAGCCTTTTGAAACTTCATTGGGTAGGACCATGTCTGACAAGTACTTGGATTCTATAGGAAAAATTTCTTCAAAAATGTTGGTGAAATTGCCGAAGTCCACTTCGTCATGAAAGAGGACTATTTTACGGGTGAAGGGCATGTAGAATTTACCACTGCTGAAGCAGCTCAAGAGGTATAAGCTCGTGGTTTGATGGTTTCAATAAATGCGTTGATACCTTTTTTACTCAGTTGAGAGTGTGTTTTGTGGTAAATGATGTACCAATCTTTGAAATGAGTAATCAAGTCTTTTAAATATTGGTGAAGTTATGAGGAGAAGACATTGATAACTAATTCTTGTTCTGTTTCCAGGCTCTCAGACTTAACAGTGAGTTGTTGCTAGATCAACCTGTCAGGCTTGATTTGGCGAGAGAAAGGGGTGGAGACTCTACAACAACTCCTGCCACAGGATCCAAAACTTTGTATCTTGGCAACTTAAGTTTTTCAATTGAAGAAGACGATGTGTATGCACTTTTTTCTGCGGTAGCCTTTTGCAACTTGTATGGTCATGTTTGAGAAGTACTTTGATCCTACAGGAAGGATTTCTTCAAAGATGTTGGTGAAATCGCTGAAATCCGCTTTGCCATTAGAGATGACAAATTCTTGGGCTATGGGCACATTGAGTTCACGACTGCTGAAGCTGCTCAAGAGGTATTAGTGTGTGGTTTAATAGTTTAAATTTTTAAGTGAAGAAATTCACAATTTCCTTCTCAATGTTGAAAGTACTTTGCACCCTAGTATCTAAAGTCGAGGGTCTGGTATTCTAGCCCCCATAGCAGCAACCAAATAATTAAAAACAGGAAACAGGCTAACCTTCCTATCTCATACAAGCCAGTAATAAATAAATAGATCTTCTATATTTGCTTACGAGGAAATTGGTATATTTCCACACTCCCCCTCAAGCTATATGTTATACAAGCCAAGTATGGAAATCAAATCATCAAAATTGTTGTTAGGAAGAGCTTTGGTGAGGATATCTACAATATATAGTTTCAAAGGAACATAAATGAGTTCAATGATCCGGGTGTAGACCTTTTCAGAGATGATATGATGATCAATTTCAATGTGCTTTGTCTTGTCATGGTGAACGAGATTCTTAGCTATGTTGATTATAGGTCGACTATTGGTAAACATTTTCACAAAAGGTTGAACTTCTACTCTTAGTTTCTTTAGAAGTTCTTGCAGCCACATTCCTTCACAAATACCAACAATCAATGCTTTATACTTAATACTTGGATTCAGCACTGCTACTTGCTTCTCTAAGTGACAAGACCGGCCAAAACATAGGAGCAGTAACCTGTTACCGATTTTCTCTCAATTTGTTTACGTGCCCAACTTGCATCTGTATAGATCTTGATTGCATGATTCACATTTCTAAAGAGTAAAGATTAGTCCATGAGATGGAGCCATCTTAAGATGCCTTAAAGTTCTCTTGACATAACGTAAGTGTTCTTGAGATAAATTGTTTATGTGCTGACTAACCATGCTCATTACGTAGGCTAATGTCGGGACAAGTATGAGCAAGCTAAATGAGTTTTTGATATGTTCGTTAAATCCGTAGGTGTCTTGGTCAGTTTACAACCAAGTTTGCCGAATTCTTTTAACCTAAGCAGTTAACAACACGGTCAACTGCGGAAAATCGCGGTCGGGACCTTGATTTGCAATTGCGGTTATCGCGGTGAGATAGCGGTGCAATAACGGTAAAAAGAAAATAGGTTCATAAATTAAATATGAATATGTGTATAGATTTGATAGATTGTATGTCTAATACATATCAAGTAAAACAATTCAAAGAACGTTCCAAACCACACAAGCAACATAGTAAATAGAGTTTATATTACTCAGTAAGAGGGCAGAAGTGTAGTCACTGAAGTTAGAACTGAGAAGGCTGGAGTGATCGAGTCTTTAGGTCCAGAAGTGTATTTGTTAGATCGAGGCTGGAGTTGAGGAGTGTAGTCGTTAGGTCGATTGGCTTGAGTCGAGCAACATCAGTCAATCAGATCACAATATTAGAGCACAGCAGCATATGACCAGAGAAGTACGCACAGTTCGGTCAACCACAGTTCGTTGATGAAAATGAGAAAGGAAGGCGATGGATTTAATCTAGGTCAACCTAAAGTCTATGGCCCAAGTTATGAAAGTAAAATCCCATACACTATTAAAAATAGAAGTCCAAATGTTCTAAAACTGAAAGACCCATGGACTAAATTATAGCGGTATAGCGGACCGCAATTGCAAAGCAAAATCTCGGGTGCAATAGCGGTGAATACCGCTGCTATTTGCGGCACTGCTTAAAACCACTGCTATTTGGTTACTGCTATTCTCCTCAGGACCGCAATCCGCAATTGCACCACTATTACACTGCTATTGCATCGCAATTAACTGCATAGCTTTTAACAAATCAAGAATATATTTCTGTTGAGAGATTGCTATGCTTTTCTTTATGGTAGCAACTTCCATACCCAAAAAATATCTTTACTCGTCTAGATCTTTGATTTTAAGTCCCATAGCTAGGAGTTCCTTTAGATCTTTGATTTTGAAACAATCATTGCTGGTTTAAATGATGTTGTCTACAACTATAAGGATAGCAGAATTTCCTCTTTTTTAATGCTTGAAAATCAAAATATGGTCCGTTTGACCCTGTAAATACCCATTAGTTATCAAGGTTTTCGCAAACGTGTCAAAACCATGCTTACTGTTTTAGTTCATAAGAGATATATGCAGTTTGCACACCAGGTTTTTGGTTTACCTTGGTTTTAAGCACCAAAGGGATCACCATGTAGACTTCCTCTTCTAGATCTCCATTGAGGAATGCGTTCTCAACATTAAGTTGGAACAGTGGCCCATTCTTATTAACTGCGAGCAGAAGGAATACACAGACAATGTTCAATTTGGCAACAAGGCTGAATGTCTCTTAATAGTCAATGCCATATGACTAGTTGAGAATCTCTTTATAATTGATGCCATGTACACAAACCTTACCTTTATCCCTAGGGGTAGAGAGGTTTTCGTGAACACCTCCGGCTTGCGATAATTTAATCTTTGTAAAAGATAAACGTGAATCTTTAACTGTGCTGTTAATTGCGGCACAAATAGCGCTGCAATAGCGGCGCAATATCGGATATCGGATATCGGACCTATGCAAAATATCGGTGGTCAAATAGCGTTGCCGCTAATATCGGCGCAATTTACCGCGATTTGACCGATATTTAGGGCCAAATTGCGGTCCACAATAGCACTATTTAGTTTTAGTTTTTGTTGGGCTTCACTTTTGAGTCTTTGACTTGGGCAATTAGGCTTTTTATTTTGATTTGGGCTATGTTTTAATTTTAATCCATTAACATAACAGTATAACAATTAAGAATTACTTTCTTTCTATCATCAACCCAAGTTGGAACTTGGAAGGAAGTCGTAGGTTCTTACACGTTCGACAGCCTCTTCGACTCTTGGACGGAAGTCGTTTATGAACACTTTTTCTATTTTGTTTTGTGAAACTTGTTTAAGTTGATGTTTTGATGTTAAAACTATTTTCCTAATTAATGCATATGATATGTTTATGTATGCATATATATATGTATATAAATATAATTATATTATATTATATATAATTCTAAGAAGTATTATATGAACTGCTATTTTTGGACCGCTACACCACTGCTATGACCACTATTTCAAATATTGGTCCTGACCGCTATTTTGTATTTTGACCAATATAACAGCATAGATCTTGAAAGAAAATTTTGAAAGTGTAGAAGATGCTAACAAGATTGGAAGGTGCTCAAGATAATCGATTTTTTAGTGGCATATAAACGCATTAAAAAAGCAAGATACTAGAGGATGTAAAAGGTAAAAAAAGCTAGGACAGTGGAAGACAAAATATGAAGTGCAAAAAAATAGATTAAAGGGCATTCCTTACTACTGGGCAAAGATCCCTTCCTAAAATTATAGTCCTGAAAAGATTGATGACTGACAACTATATTCAATTTCTAGGCTCTCAAACTAAACAACAAGGTGATATTAGATCGGCATGTGAAACTTGATTTGGCAAGGGAACGAGGTGCGTACACCCCGGGTAGCAGGTATCATGGCCTGGCAATATACTTTAATTTCTTCAGCTGGACAAGTAAAAATATGAACTGATATTGTATATAATGACTGTAGCGTGGAGAAGTCTAACCAAAAGGGAGGGCAAGCTCATGGAAAAACCGTATTTGTACGGGGATTTGATTCTAGTGATGGTTTTGACAATGTATGTTTATGTACAATACTTTTATTGAGGATTTCCTGTTTAGAATTCTCATTACATCTCTGGCTGATAAATGATTTCTGTCACCTTGGTATATTTTTTTCCCCTTTTGTTATCTGATGCAGATTAGGACTGCACTTGAAAAGCATTTTGGGAAATGTGGAGAGATTTCACGTATGTCCATACCAAAAGATTACGAGTCTGGGGCTCCTAAAGGGTTTGTCTTCTTGGAATTGCATTTTGATGCTTGAAGTTGTTCTACCATTTCATAAAGTCTTAAATATTTGCTGTTTGTTGATTATTAAGCATTCATTTATTACGGACTTGGGGCTTAATTTGTCTAATCAATTAATTGTATTTCCGTAGAGTTGCTTTTATCGACTTTCTGGACAGTAACGGGTTCAGTCGAGCTCTAGAACTTGATGGATCAGAAGTTGGAGGCAGCATGATAACTGTTCAGGAAGCGAAAAACCAGAGAGCTGATAGTCGTGAAGGATCAGGACGTGGAAGCCGTGGCTGGGGTGAAGGAAATGGCTATGGTGGTGGCTGGGGTGGAGGAAATGGCAATGGTGGGGGCTGGGGTGGAAGAAGCGCCTCTGGTGGGGGTTGGGGTGGAGGAAGCGGCTCTGGTGGTGGCTGGGTTGGAGGAAGCGGATCTTTTGGCCGCTGGGGTGGAGGAAGCGGCTCTGTTGGTGGCTGGGGTGGAAGAAGCTACTCTGTTGGTGGCTGGGGTGGCCGGGCTATAGGAAGTGGCTTTAGTGGTGGCAGGGGTAGAGAAAGTGGCACTGGTAGTCACTGGGCTAGTGGCAGGGATAGGGAAAGTGGCACGGGCGGTGGGTGGGGTAGTGGAAGTGGCTATGGCTGTGGGCGGGGTAGTGGAAGTGGCTATGGTGGTGGCCCGGATAGGGAAAGTGGCTCGGGTAGTGGCCGGGGTAGTGGAAGTGGCTATGGTGGTAGCCGTGTTATTGATAGTGGCTATGTTGGTGGCCGGGGTAGGGAAAGTGGCTCTGGTGGTGGGTGGGGTAGTGGAAGTGGTTATGGTGGTGGTCGGGGTAGTGGAAGTGGCTATGGTGGCAGTGGCTGGAGTAGAGAAGGTGACTCTCGTAGCGGCTGGAGTAGAGGAAGTGGCTTGGGTGGGAGGTCTGGTTGGGGATTTAGCAGCAGCCGTGGCGGTAGGTTTAGTAGCAGCCATGGTAACAGCAATCAGGGAGGTAGCAGGTCGTAACCGACGCCAATTCGATCACTTATGTGGCTCCATAACTAAAATTCTTGCTCTCAAATTGTAACCACTTGTGATGCATATTAATGTCCTGGGAAGAGTTTGTCTTTTTTTTTATTTTTATTTCTTATATTATTATTTCACATCGACTACCTTGTTGGAGTTGCATATGTAATATATGGTCAGCCAAATGATTGTATGAGGAGAGTTAAGGTGAGTAACGTAAGAAGAGATCTGGACCGTTGCTCACCTTCAATCTCAAACCCATTCATGAATCGCGCTTGATACAGGGATTGATCCGGTGCATCTCATTTTAATGTGCATTTAAGGGTGGAGGTCCTTTCTTATGCTTCTCACCTTAACTCTCATTCTTCATTTGTTATTTGATAAATTGTCTAGTGATCAAAGAAAGCTTTCACAATATTATTTCTAGTTGATCTACAAATTGAGAAATCTGGAGCCAACAACTAGTTAATTTATCCTATTCTTCTATAAATCGAGCTTAATTATGTGAAAATAGTGGTTATTCTTCTATAAATCGAGCTTAATTATGTGAAAATAGTGGGTATTCTTCTAT